CTAACACATGACTGATGGAAATATACTGAAGAGTCCTCCAGGTTCTGACACTGATGTTTTCTGAATGTAAGTGGAACAATAGGATAGTAAAAGGAGATTGCCAAGAATTAAAAGCTTCTTTTACAACTCTTCACACTTGTTTGTTTGCTTTTTTGCCTAAAAGATAGTAAGACTGAAGGGGAAGGAGGATGAAAGACAGATGAAGGGCAGCAGTTCAGTGGTGGAGGGGCTAAATCTGTAACTGAAGACTGCACTTCCCATTTGCCTACAGACACAGCCTCTGTGTCTGCCTCCAGTTTGCACAGTGATGCAGTGGAGCTTGAAAATGGGAGGGATGTACAGTGGTACCTCGGGTTACAGACGCTTCAGGTTACAGACTCCGCTAACCCAGAAATAGTACCTCGGGTTAAGAACTTTGCTTCAGGATGAGAACAGAAATTGTGCTCCGGCGGTGCAGCACAAGGTAAAGTGGTACCTCAGGTTAAGAACAGTTTCAGGTTAAGAACGGACCTCCAGAACGAATTAAGTTCTTAACCCGAGGTACCACTGTACACATTAGATTTCATGGGTCCATTCCCAGATCCATTTGGAAACAGATTGGAGCCTGGACTGAACTGATCCATTTTGGCCCACTGCAACCACCGGACCATTCCAGGCTGCTCTATTCCTCCCCTCAAACCTCCAGAGGTGAGGTGGTGGTGTTAAGCTCCAGGCATTGTTAATAGCAATGCGCCCACAGTCCAAGGCTGGCTAACCTGTGGCTCTCTATATGCCATTGTACTCCATTCCCATCAGTGTCAGCCAGTGTGGTCAGGGGTGAGGGGAGTTGCAGCCCCATGGATCCTAACAACCCTAGATATTGCCCTACATATTCACAATAGCACTTAGGATTGATGGTTCTGTTCACTGTTTACAGACTACTCAAAGCAGGCAGCGTTTCAGAAGCAGAAAAGGGATAAAAGACCCCCTCTCCTGCCTCACCTGAGGCCTTTCCCTCAAGTGCTATCAAAGGCTCAGATTGGGGCTGGCTGAGCATTTTGTTGCTATATAGTGGGAGGGTGGGAAGGTTGGGAAATGTGTTTTCTCCTGAAACGTCCTGATATAGTGCATGGAAAAGAATGTTTTCACCTCATGGTATGTATCCCCACCCACCCAAAAGTTTGATAATGTTACAAAAGTTGGGTGTCTCCCCCTCTCTCTGCTGAGCGGTGGCTAGAAGTTCCAGCAGGTTCCAGGCACTCAACCAGGGTCTGTGGTCCTCTGGAGAAGTGAGATACGAGAGAGACTGTCGTAGCTTTAGGAAATATGGTTTATTGACCTATTTGCACTCAGTCTGCGTGGAGGGAGTCCAGATCTTACAGTATGGTCATTTCGAGAGGGGCTTATGTCCCCCACAGGAGTACAGCCCTGGAGCCTAACAAGGCATCTCTCCCAGCCTGCCCAAGATGGATCCCAGTGTTGTTGTTTCTTCTTCTTCTTCTTCTTCTTCTTCTTCTTCTTCTTCTTCTTCGAAGCCACACAGAGTGGCTGGGGAAACCCAGCCAGATGGGCAGGGTATAAATAATAAATTATTATTATTATTATTAGTAGTAGTAGTAGTAGTAGTAGTAGTATTTTCTCCTCCTCCTCCTCTTCCTCCTCCTCCTCCATCCCAGCAACCTTTGCTGGAGACTCTCTTTTCCTGTCACCTCATACCCAGTTCCCTTGGCAACCTTCCAAACCCCCAGTCCCTGTTCACACCTCAGGGCAAGCGGGGAGGACAGTTCTCTTGCATTGCCAATGGCTCTCAGTGGCCCTGTATCGTTTCCTAATGGCCATAGCTTGGCCAGGTCATTTTGCATAGGCTAGCCCAGGAATTCCTCTGAAGCTTGTATTTCTCCCTTCACATCCCAAATAATCAACATCCCACCATCTATTAATTTCTATTCCCCCCCCAAATTTATAACAAATGCAACTTATAACGCATATTTTGATAGAAAATATATTTAGAACTTTCTGTTTTAATTGGAAGTATTTAAAAATGCATGTTTAAATAGGGATTTTTCTGTGAATAACATTTTTTTTAAAAAAATTAATAATAATTGCAGATTACTGAGGAAACGGCACACAGTGGAAATATGAGAGAACCCATGTCAAAGTGACGTGGAGCAGAAAAATAGGTTGCTTTTTCATCCCTAATCAAATTACCAAGAGAACCTATTGAGCTGGGTTTGACTCTCTCAGGATCTGGACAAAGTTCTGAGTGCAAACCTAGATTCTAGGAAAAATAAGAGTTCCCCAAAGATGAATTTAGCCATGCAACAAAAACCCCTGCTTGTTTGTGAAGGGGAGCTGAGGTATATGAGGGTAGCCCAGAGATCTTTGTGTTGTAACCAAAATCTGCCCTTCTTCCCTTATGGGGTATCCAAGAGCCCGTACAGAGTCCTTAAGTGGGTTCCCTATCGGTAGGAGAAAATAACAGAGGCCAACCAGAGAATATTGAGAAGCAAAGCAGCTAGTAAGCCTGATCTTTATTAAAGCTGTTGCAACAGGGTGCTCCCCCACACGCAGGAGAGAGGAGGACCCAGAACAAAGGTGTGCCTGCCCTTTTATAGACATTTTAAATTCCCTGCCCTGGAGCTCAAGACCACCACTCCATACATCATACATACATCACAGAAGGGGTGTAACCCAAGACCACCCCCTACAAACATCATACCTACATCACAGAAAAGGTGCTCTACAACAGAAAATTGAATGTTGTTGTTTTTCCTGTCTGCTAGATTATCTGATAATGCCTTATCTGATTGCCTTTCCTGGTAGTCTGGCCATTCCTTTGAAATGGTGATTACCCAATTCCTGAGACAATGGGAAGGTTCCCTCACACCCTTCCTCCTTGCAGAGAAAACATTTGGTCAGTCTGGGAGTCAAAATGGTTTCAGGACGGTCTTCCTGTCCTGCTTCAGACATGTGGTCCACATATCTATGTACGTTCTTGGTTGGTACATTTATGAGCATTTATTATATATATAAAAGACCTTAAATTTTTTATTACATATGTGCTTATCATTTTAAATGATGTTGTGGATCAGATATAGCCTTGGGAATGTCTCCTACTTATGCCTGGCCTGAATAAATCCTTTTATTCATCAACATATGCAGAACTACCCTTGACATCTTGCGTTCTGCCAAGCTGGCGCAATTAGCTCTGAGCAAGTAACATTCCTTTTCCCAGTCTCTAAGAGTTACGAAGGGAGGGTGCCAACACTCTTGAATGCACTTAAACCATGGGGTTTGTCTTAACTCACACATGCTTTCGTAATAATGGATCTCGAGTGGGACAGGCGCCATGTGGGGATAATTAGATAATATTTGATGGAATAAGATTTCAGCATTGTTCCTGTGAATCAGCGGGATTGGCATTTCAATGTCTGCGCTCCAGTTTGGGACAAAAGGGGGGGGGAATCAGAACATGAGCGAACTGTGTTTTTAAAAATGCATCTTAAATATATTCTGTTCTGCCTCTAAGGAGCTTAGGATGGTGTACTTGCGTTACTCCTACAACAACCTTGTGTGCTAGGTTGGCCTGTGTGTGTGTGTGTGTGTGTGTGTGTGAGAGAGAGAGAGAGAGAGAGAGAGGTGTCAAAGAAACCTGCCAAGCTTCATAAACAAGTGGGGTTTGAGCCACAGTCACCCTAGGCTAAAAAGGTAAAGGGACCCCTGACCATTGGGTCCAGTCATGGCCGACTCTGGGGTTGCGGCGCTCATCTCGCTTTATTGGCCGAGGGAGCCGGCGTACAGCTTCCGGGTCATGTGGCCGGCATGACTAAGCCGCTTCTGGTGAGCCAGAGCAGCGCACGGAAACGCCGTTTACCTTCACGCCGGAGCGGTACCTATTTATCTACTTGCACTTGGACGTACTTTCGAACTGCTGGCGGGCAGGAGCAGGGAGCGAGCAATGGGAGCTCACCCCATCGCGGGGATTCGAACCGCCAACCTTCTGATCAGCAAGTCCTAGTCTCTGTGGTTTAATCCACAGCGTCACCTGCGTCCCGTCATCCTAGGCTAAGGCCAGCACTAACCAGAATCCCACATTACTTTATATGGAGTTGGAAGGGCACTGTCTTGGACAGAGAACCTCTGCACCAGCCTCTCTAGAACGAATAGATATAAGTTGCTCAAGATCACAGTAAGTTGCTCAGGAGAATTTCACAGCAAATTAAACCCATAATCAAGCATGTATAAAAAGCAACAAACTGTGCCTTTCTGGCTGTTAATACTCCCTTTCTAAACTCTCCTTTTGAAAATAAAAACCAAAGGAATGCTCCACCAGCTTTGCATTTTTTGAAGCACTTCCAATTTCAAGCACTTCCACTAACCCAGAAAATGGTCCATATGTGGCAGAGATGTGCCTTACAGTGAATGGGAGGGAATGTTGAAAGGAATGTGCCAAGGGCTGCTGCTTGTGAGAGCAATTGGTCCTGGACTAGACAGTCAAGTGACTTAGTCCACTATACCATACACCTTCATGCATATACAGTGGCACCTCTGGTTAAGAACTTAATTCAATCCGGAGGTCTGTTCTGAACCTGAAACTGCTCTCAACCTGAAGCACCACTTTAGCTAATGGGGCCTCCTGCTGCCGCCGCGCCACCGGAGCACGATTTCTGTTCTCATCCTGAAGCAAAGTTCTTAACCCGAGGTACTATTTCTGGGTTAGCGGAATCTGTAACCTGAAGTGTATGTAACCTGAAGCGTCTGTAACCCGAGGTACCACTGTAGGTCAAACAGAGGTCCATTTTATAGGCTGTGAGCACTCTATTCCTTTAAAGCACATTCAAAACACATTCTTTCACTCAAAGAATTCTAGGCGCTGTAGTTTTCACCTCACAAAGTTGCAATTCTCAGCACCCTTAACAAACTGCAGTACCCAGAATTCTTTGAGGGAATGAATGTGCTTCAAATGTGCTTTAAAGGCATAGTATGTACACAGCCACACTGTCCTGAAAACTGCTATGGGGATACTTACTTGGCAGGGGAGACACCTTGATCATGAAGGAGGTTTTCCCAGAGTGAGGCTCATCCACTGCACTGCTCAGTGTGCTGACCCCTGTGATTTCCCCAAATGTGGGGGGGGGGGGACTGCTATGTTCTGCCCCACTTTGAGACATTCAAAGGTGGAAGACTGTAAATACGCACAGGCACATTTCAATGCATATGGGTCATGTGCAGGTACGCAAGTACCAGTGTGTAGACCAGGGGCATTGAATGCAGGGCCTCTTGCTGCTACAAGTCCCACATCTTGCCCCCTGGCTATTCTGGTTGGGGCTAATGGGAGTTAGAGTCCAACAACTGCTGGAGGGCACCACGTTGGCTACCCCTGGTGTAGACACTGTGTGGACACGCAGGTAATATGATCCTGCCACTATGCTGTCACCCTCTGTGCTGTGCATGTCAACTGAATGTGTGGAGTCCTTCCTGAACATCTGAAAATGGCTCCTGACTTAGGGTGATGATTTATAAATATTCATTCTCCTTTGGATTCCCATAAACAGTTGCCCTTATGTTGACATGGTCCCACTCAAGATGGCCACATTCACTTTCCATAGATGGAGATGCACCACTGAACATGCACAAACACCTGTGCCAATTGTCAGCTAAAGATAAATATGCTTCAATCAATACTGAATTCTAATCCTTCTTTTCCCGGCTCATAGAGGATTTTTTTTTCTAGTCTACATGATGCCATTATTTATGTTCAATTGTAACCTGTTAATCATATAATGTTTTTGACTGATAATCGCTTCTTAGAAGACTTCTAATTATGTTCATATTAGCCTTTCTGATCATGAAGGTATATTGGGGATAAATTGCAGACCTCCTCATTATTCTTCATGAAAGCTAGGCTAATAACTGCCCTAGTATCATTGATAACGGATTCCTCTCTGTTCTATTATCATCAAAGGAGCAGTCTGAATACTATTTATCTGTCAAAATTGGAGTTGTTAACCTTGATGTCGCAGCTTGTAAAGAGGGGAGATAAATGTCTCCTTCAACAGGCACTTGAAACCTCCTGCTGTAATTTATTACAAAATTGCCACCCCAATAAAAAGGTTAAATACTAAAGGAACATTCTGTAAAACAAAAACAAAACAAAATAAAAAACCTGGATCCAATCCAGAAAAGTTAAGTGCCGGAGTCAGTGAGACTTGAACACACTAGCATCTTGCATTCTTCGTATCAATGGCGCAAATTTTCCTCTGCATTGTTCCATTTCTATCTATCTATCTATCTATCTATCTATCTATCTATCTATCTATCATCTATCTATCTATCTATCATCTATCTATCTATCTATCATCTATCTATCTATCATCTATCTCTTTCGCTCCCTCTCCAAGCTAGCAAGATCCCCATCAAATAATAGCATGACCCTACAATCTGATTTAGAAGACAAGAAAATGGGAATGATTAGGTTGTCCCCCCATGACTCAGACCAATTGCACGGATGTAGAAACACTACTACACCAGCTGGACTGCAGTGTGCAAAACAGTTTCATCAAGATACAAATGAAAAACAGTCATGGGACTGTTTGATGGGTTGCCCATGTAATGACGTTTTGTAAAGCACTTCAGATACCAAAAGGCTTTATAGAAATTGGTAAAGGTAAAGGTACCCCTGACCATAAGGTCCTGTCGTGGACGACTCTGGATTGCGCGCTCATCTCGCTCTACAGGCCGAGGGAGCTAGCACTACTTAAATACACATAAGTTTTGGTGACACTGTCATCCAGACAGCTGCCTGAGAGAAGAACTCTGTGGCAGGAGCTGCCCTGGACATTGGCACCAGCTCTGCTCCTGGATCTGATCTGGATGGAAGAATGAGGGAGGGACAACCAGAAATGCTGCTGACATCAGCTGTGATTTCAAGAACTATAACTTTAAGAACTCGTGCTTGATCTTGATCTTCCTTGCTCTCTTCAATTCCTTTTTCCTTGTATGTCATGCCCTTTTAGATTGTGAGTCTGAGAGAACGGTTGTGTTAAAACTGATTTTTGTAAGCTGCTCTGGGAGCATTTTTGACTAAGAAGTGATGTATAAATGCATCACTGTTGTTGTTCATTGTGCGTTATGTTGAGGCAACACTGACAGTGTTCCTGTGGCCATGAAATAAAACCAAGGGAAATACCATTTTTATTATATTTAATATTATATTTAATATTTATTATATTTAATATTAGACAAGAACCATAACAGTTTGATTTTTTTAACAGAAAAAATATTTCTCTTTCTTTCTTTCTTTCTTTCTTTCTTTCTTTCTTTCTTTCTGCCTCTCACAAATTATTGATTCGATTGCACATGTTGGAAAATTAAGGCCAAATTAATAAAACTATCGTATTTAGTAAATAGCTACTTTATCAATATTTTAGAATACCATGGAGGTATTCACTGGTAATCTCAGTTGGAGGTGGAACATAGCACTTTTTGTAGTTTAACAACCTTCTGTATAAGGATGACTTCAAAGAGTTTGCAGAGCAGCAGGGCTGATTCCTTTGCTCCTCAGATTTAGGCTCTGGAAATGACACGTGCCTTAACTCTGTTACTGTATTTACTTTTGCAAGGCGCTTCAAATGGGTACGGTAGAGTTCCACATTTTTTTACAACCTATTGGCTCCTTCAAGGTGATTCACTAGCAAATTGTTCAAATGACTGGAAAGGGCACAGCTACTCTCAGTTGAAGAGCACTGCCATTTTGAAAGGTTGGGTTTTCCTGCTAATCCACATTTTGTATTTAGACAGGAAGGAAGTAGCTCTGGCAGCGTTGATAAAATATGGGACATATTTTGGGATCATATTATTGCCACAGGCATGACGCAGTTCTGGAGTTCTGTTTCTATTAAACTAGAGCAACACAGGGTTTTTAAAGGACACAAACAAGACTTTTAACATAAAATGAAACCCCTGTGCTTTAACTAAAAGCAATCCAGAGCACTTTAGGGCTCTGCAGGAAACGTTTTGGACAGCCTCAATTTTTGCATAGCCCATGGACGTAGGAAAAGAGGGAGAAACAAAGGAAATGTAGTGCAGAGAAGCTCAGAATGAGGGGTTTAGATACTTTGTGGTGGCCTCAATCTGATTCTGGGTTTCACCTCGATTCACCTTGTTTTTCAGCCCTCCACTCGGCCCATGCATGCAACTATTACTTGTTGCATTTGTTGTAACCTACATTTTCCCCAAGGTGGTTCACATGGTAGGTAAAGGTAAAGGGACCCCTGACCATTAGGTCTAGTCGTGACCGACTCTGGGGTTGCGGCGCTCATCTCGCTTTATTGGCCAAGGGAGCTGGCATACAGCTTCCGGGTCATGTGGCCAGCATTACTAAGCTGCTTCTGGCGAACCAGAGCTGCGCATGGAAACGCCGTTTCCCTTCCCGCCGGAGCGTTATCTATTGATCTACTTGCACTTTGACGTGCTCTCGAACTGCTAGGTGGGCAGGAGCAGGGACCGAGCAACGGGAGCTCACCCCGTCGGCAGGATTTGAACCGTCAACCTTCTGATCAGCAAGTCCTAGGCTCTGTGGTTTAACCCACAGCGCCACCTGCGCCCCGGTTCACATGGTAGTTGTGAGAATAAACTGCCATTACCACATAATTAGCCTTTGAAGTAGGGTTAAACTGAGAGACTCTTCTGTAAGCTTCATGTGGATGAGTAGGGCTGGTCCAACATGTAGACTTAGTTATTCTTTGGCAACAGCAGTCTGTTTGAAGACCGCTAGCTGAGGCAGACCGACATGAAGCAATTCCAGCCCGAACACGGACAGTGGTTCACTCAATTGTACATCTGTGACAAGGATGGCTTCTTCTTTTTATTTCCATACCCCTAATTGCCATTGAACTGTTAGCCGCCAATGCTGCTAATTGCTATTTGTAGTTGTTTTGTTCTTTTTAAGGGGAAATATCAATTTAAAGTTAAATAATAGCAATGAAAGAGGAGTTCTGTTCAGCAAGGGCTTCAGGCGCCATGTGGTGATGGATGTTCATAACAATGGCTATATATCTCTGTCCAGAATTAAAGAGGCATATAAATGGTTTAAATAAACAAATAAATAACATTTGCCAGGTAAAATTATTTAATAAACTTTCTGAGAATTTGGAGAAAGTGTGGCAATTCAGAATGGTTGCTCCTGAAGATTTGGGGTGGGACCGTCTTACCTCATCAAAAGAGAATAGAACTTAATCAAGTTAAGAGATTTCCCAACTTTCCCCTGAATAATCTCCAAAGACCAGACCCAACGGGGAGTTTTCCTATTACTTGTGAAAGGTGCTAGAAAGGATGTTGGCTTGTGAGCAAATAGGTTAGTGATTTTTAATGACAGCTGAGAGAGGTATGGAGTCCTTTGGTATACCTACACATTTATTTTGTGGGCTCTGTTCAAACAGGTTTTTGAAACAATACTTTTTAAAAAACCCTGTTTACCAGAGGAAAAAGTAGAAGAAGTGAGCGCACTACAAGCAGTGATCTCTATTTCAAGCTGCCATTGACTCCCGGGAGGGCGGGGGGTGGGGGAGAAGCTATTGTCTGTCTCCATTCCAAATAGGCCCTCCCATCACGAAAGCTTGATCTATATTTATTACAAGTGGCCCTGTTCTGTCTTTTGAGAACATGGCCATGTTTATAATAATGCTATAAAAATGGCACTTTTAATAGCGGCTTCAAAGAAACTATTTCCTATTCTGTGCTTTTCCTCCTCCTTTTTGTCCCAGACAAATGCTAGCCAAAATCTCCCTTCAAAAATGATGTCTTTTTCTCCCCCACGCTGTACCATATGGTTGATTGAGACCAGTTTTCTCTGGCCTACTTGCCTCTCGTTCTGGAGCCGATTTATCCAAGAGACTAAAATAGGGCTAACTTTGCTGGCAAGAAAAGAAAGCTCCAGCTAAAATGAAAATTGTGGTGTCTAGAAACCAAGGGCTTCTCACAAATGTTCAGATCACACTGAAGTGCATTATTCATTTCTGTATTTGATATAGTTCTCCTCACCACATAAAAAGATATATTGCCTCTTAGACAAAGGTGGATATACCTTTTTGTTTTGTTTTGTTCTGTAACGGAGCAACCTTGGGACAACAGCCAAAACTAGGTTAATCCAGAAAGT